ACATTGGGAGGCGGATCGACAGATTACGAGTCTTCGCCATACATTGGAAGGCAAGGCTTCGTCATTCTTATTAATCCAGCTCTGGATTAACCCCGGCACCCACGTATAGAGCCGTATAAGGCCAGTACCCTTCCGCTGTTGGGACTGCGTGGTATATTGAGTGAGTGTGGGCATCCTAGACTTGCCTGTGACTAGGATTACCGAGGTGTTAGTGGTTGACCTGCGGGAACCACAGTACGCAGAAACACAGACCAACCCGGTGCAAGGGATCGTACTCAGGCCTACGGGACCTCAAATAAGCCCACTAAGTCTTCGTGACGAAGTGGGTGTTATTGGAGGGAGGTGTACCTATATTTTGGACGTATTACGATACGACAACTGGTGCCGCGACCCGAGATTGGTGGTGACCTTCTGTGGGTTGTGCTACTGCAGGTCGATTGACTTTACGGGCAACAATCAAGAGAAGTAGAGAAGAGAAGAAGAAGAAAACAAGAAAAAACAAGAAACAATGGCTAAAGGATCGAATTCAGCGGTACCAGAAACCCCTGTGAAGACTGGCTGGACGGACGACTACGACACAAAAATGCTGGTAGAAACATCTGGCACTGATGAGTACACGGAACGCTCGGTCAGCTTCGAGGAGGACACGAACGGATCCGGTGAAGGCATGGACGAGAATTACGACCTTGAAGAAAAGGAGGATATCCCAGAAGACTCGATTCTGGCGGCGGGGCGAAGCAGCGGTGCGAGACCCCTGGCCCAGAATCTTATGTAAGAACTTGACGAAGTTGTCGGACCCGAACCAGCGTTTGGAGATGACGACGACGAAGAAGGAGAAGATGATGGGCTCGAAACAAGCTGTGACGACGTCTCAAGTCCCAGAGCAAAAAACAGGTTATCGGCCACCGATGAATGGAGACACCCCAGCGGCAAACAAGGTCCTTGGTCGCACATACGAAGAAATGATGGAAAAGAGTACGTGGATCAGACTTTTCGAACCAAAACGGATCAGACAAGCAGTTTGGGCGGACCTTAGCCACGAGCTGGCGGTGGCAGTGACGGTCACAACGACTGGACAAGTCGCGAATGACACGGTGCAGTTCCTGAAGTCGATGGGACTGCAAGCGCAAACCGTGCCGACGCAAGGAGTCTTAGAGTCGTGGATCAGTCGTGGATCCCTGCCGAAGCTGACGCAGACTTGTGGAAATGGAAGCGTAAGCTGATAGTCGGTTTCGGTGTGACTGACATTCACTATCCTCAACCACCAGTAGGAAAGTCGGCTGGTAGAGGTGTCGACCCGTCGAAGATTCCACTTCCGAAGACGCCGTCAAAAGGATACAACACCGTGCCGAAGTCTCATGGTGTGTTCTCAAAATCAGGAGACGAGACACCCTACTTCCAAGAATCACACATGATAACCCCTAAGTCTTCGGGGAAGAAAGAGCGATCTGATCGCGATAGCGGACGCGCCAACGCGACCAGGAGCACGATGCGAAGTTCCCGACGAAACTGGGATAGAAATCAGTAAGATGAGGACGATGCATCCTCGGATGATGACGATGACATTTATAGGCGCCTTCAACAAGACGGAGTCCTGAATGAATACATACGACAGATCGAGAAAGCCTCAAGTCCGGAAGGAGAACGTGGAGAACGCTTGACACAGATGATCGAACTGGCGACACACCGTCCTCTAGGACAAATTCGCGCGTTCTCGGGTCTCCGGAATAAAAGTAAGAACTCAATGCAGTGGCTGCGTGGATTCGTGTACGAGATGAAGGCACCTCACGCAGTCCCGATGAGTGGTGTATCCCTTTTCAACTAAGTTTGAAGGACGGTGCGTTACATTGGCACCGACAACTGCCGAAGAAGACCAAACGTACGTGGGGTCTTCTCAGCAATTCGTTTATTAGATACTACCGCGCCCAATACAACCAAACAGCAGAGACTCGCTACTATTCAGCCAAGCGAGAAGACAAAGAACACCTTGTGATTACCTGAACCGACTTAACGGGAATGCTAGGAATGCGGGAATACAATTCCACAAAGGTGACCGTAAGGCACGAGATCAGGTGAAGCGTTTCCTGGAAACTTGCGGCGATAGCGAACTCGAACGAAGACTATGTCATATAAAGGTATACAACATCCACGAACTAGAAGAGATGATTAATGCGATCCTGAAGGTGGATGATCCTAAATCGGCGAAAGGATCTTCTCAATCACGATCCCGAAGTCATGATACCAGTCGATCGAAACGTAGCGACCGCCCGAGAGACGGCTATTCGCACAGTGATCGCCGTGACAGAGACGTTGGACGCCGTCGCGATGACTCACGAAACATCCACGAGTCACCTTTGCAGAAGGAGCGAAAGCATTTGAAGCCCAAAAGACGTACACGAGTGATGAGGACGATCTTCACGATATTTACGATGACTACAATGATTATGATAACTATGATGGATGGAACGCCGATGAATCGCGATACACTGACGAAGAAAGGGAAGAAAACGATGACCCTGCTGATGAAGACGACTTTGTGGCAGCAGCCAATGAAGTAGAACGTCGAAATGAAACGGACGGGATGTACGCTATATCGGACGCTAGATTCCCGAAGACTGAACAATCGCGAGGTTTTAACCGAGACAATCGGTCCAGCGGCAAAATAACATTGATCGTTTCCCACGACGGCAGGATGGTCCCTGTGGGGCATGTGGCGATATGTCGCACTCGACTCACTTTTGTCGAAGACAATGCAAGTTCTGCAAACAAGTCCACGAACCTGGTCGGTGCGAGGTCTTCCAGGAACTGACTAAGCTAGTCCGTACCAAGGTGGATAAGAAAGACATCGCGCCCGAACTTCAGACCCTACTCTTCGGTGAATCTTTAAACTAGGCAGCCCCTCAACTTTGACTGGGTTGGTCCAAAACGGGCTGCCACAATTAGCAGAACCTGTGATTGAAGCTGAGTGCGCGTATGCTTTTGTGAGGGAATGCGAATGGCCAGTGAAGAGTCAGGTGAATTGTATGATTTCGACAGAAAATGGATTAGAGGGAATTAACACCCTCGGTGGAGAGGATATTAGGAGGAGTACCGAAGACTCTCTTGGAATGAAGACAGAAGGAATCGTCTCAAGTGTAGCCCAGGAAGCTCCAAGACGAAGATTAAACAAGGAAGTCCGACTACTACCGGGTGGGAGAATGGGGTGGTGGTCGGCTCAAAAATTCGATCGGAGAGTGAGGATGCGGACACTAGTTGAAGGTGCCGTCAATGCCCAGAGAACTCGAATACTCCTGGACACAGGACCAAACGTGAGTATCGTGTCAGCACGAAATGCGCAGAAGTTGGGTCTTCGCGACATCCCAAATCAGGATTGTAGCATGGATATCCAAGGGATTTCAAAAGAAAATGCTACGACGACTCGGAGGACGACAGTGAAGATAACGCTCGGCTGGGAACGAGTGTATGTCTTTGAATGTGGGTAATTGACCATTGTGCAGGGGTGGGTGTCCTCTTAGGGACCGACTTCATGATCCCTGCAGGAGTTCGGCTGAATATGTTCCATTCGAACGCAAAACTCCCCGACGATGTGTCAATCTCGCTGATAAAGACACAAGCAATGGAGAATGAACCAGAAATACACTGGTCCGATCACCACACTGAATATTCCAAGACGAGAAAGGATGACCTTTAAGGTTTCGAAAAGACACCCGTCACCGAAGACTCACGATGTCTGGATTAGGAGGACGGAATCTGTGGTACCGACTGTCACGGGTTATCGGAAAAGATGCCCATATTGCTTGAGATTGACTAATATTACAGACCATACGGTGTACTGTCCAGCCCACCTTCCAGTATTGGCATGGGTTCCGCTAGGACATCTCCCACGAGATTTAGGATACGTGCGAGTAGACTCGATGAAGTACGCGGGATGGCAAGTGTTGGCTTACGCAGAAGCACGTCACAAGGATCTTTACAAGAAGGAAGAGAAGCTTTATGAACAATGGTTAGCTACCCAACCATCAACCGTTGCACGACCAGAGTACACATACCCAACCTCAATACTCAGACATGAGGAGAACGAAACAGCTGGTGACAACAACCTATATGAGGACAGGGATGATGTGCAAAGGAACACAATGGAGGAGAGTGCAGATATCTGGGTTGCGGGGTAACAGTAAGAACGCCTGACGAAGACTCGCCTTGCAGCGAAGATAGCAGCGACGACTCAATCGAACTGAATTTCCCCGAAGCTACACCAAAACCGAACTTTGGAAGCGACTTCATGATCTTGGAGAATTCGTTTATCTCGGTTGTGAAAGCCATAACTACCAAAGGATATGAGTCCTCGGAAGATGAGGTAGTCTATGTGCATGAGCCAGCCGACTTTGAATTAACTGACTATTCCCAAGAACTAGTGTTCCTGCCGGATTTATCAGACCATTCACCAACAGAACTCGACTTTTCGGCAGCGGATGTGTTGAATCCTACTCTATCGGTCGACGACCAAGCAAAGTTAGTGAATGTCTTGAAAACTCACAGAAACATAATGATCGCCAGTGGTAATGCCTTACCACTGCCTGCATACGGAGTAGTCTCTGATACAAATGTGCACGTACCCATCAATCAGCGAGCTCGTCGGCTCCCAATCCGATATCTCCAGAAGTCTACGAGCTGCTAAAAGGACTGTTGAAAGCGAACCTCGTGTCGTTTTCCGACAGCCAGTGGGCTTCACCAATTGTGATAGTCCTGAAGAAGAATGGACAAGACATCCGATTATGCATTGACTATAAAAATGGTCAACGCGGTCACAGCCATAATGGAGTATGCTATGTTGTTAGTTGACGATTTGCTTACGGACCTGGACTTCTATTTGTCGTTCTGCTCACTTGACGCAGCGAGCGGATCCCAATCCGATATCTCCAGAAGCGCTATGAGCTGCTAAAAGGACTGTTGAAAGCGAACCTCGTGTCGTTTTCCGACAGTCAGTGGGCTTCACCAATTGTGATAGTCCTGAAGAGGAATGGGGAAGACATCCAATTATGCATTGACTATAAAGTGGTCAACGCGGTCACAGCCATAATGGAGTATGCTGACGCTTTGCTTACGAACCTGGACTCCTATATCTGGTTCTGCTCACTCGACGCAGCGAGCGGATTCTGGGCCATCATGATGACGCATAGAGCTCGCAAGATATCAGCATTTGTTTACCCACTGGGGCATTTCGAATGGCTCCGAATGCCATTCGGACTTAAAAATGCACCGATGATCTACCAGCGCATGATAGATAATGCACTATGGGGATTCGTGCAGCCAAAGGGTGTATGGCGAAGTTTCGCAGACAAGATGAAAGCTGCAGAAGATCTCGCGAAGAGTCAAAAAGAGCATAGTGCCGAACACTCTGCCAAGTCATGCGGTGAACCACTGATAGTCAACACCAAGTTGCAGCAGATCGAAATGATGTGGAAAATCAATTTTCCTATACTGAAGTTGTGAACGAGTCGACATCTGACATGTTCGTAACAAATAAAGTTGATGAGTCAACCCTCATGCCGGTCTTCGACAGGAGATCATTCGTTGACGATATCTGCTTTGAAGGAAAGATTTGACGATATCTGCTTTGGAGGAAAGACATTTGACGACTGCCTCACAACTTTAGATCGACTCCTGGCACGATTCACAGAATGCCGTATCAGTATCAGCTTCACCAAAAGTATATTCGTTCAACCACGAGTTGAATTCCTTTCTCACGAAGTATCGCACGAAGGAATTTGAGCTAAAACTAAGAAGTTAGAATCACGAGCCTATCGTTTCCACGCACGAAAAGAGGGATGCAATCCTTCTTAGGAACTTTGAACTACTACAGTAGATTCATACAAGATTTTGCAGTATTCGGTGCAGCACTATACCAACTAATAGACGATGATTTCGAAGAAGACGGCGACCTAACGACGGCACGCCGAAGTTTCGACATGCTAAAACAGAAAGTAGCCGAAGCTCCGATCCTTCGGCACTTCGACAGAACAAAGGAGGTTCATATCATGCTCTTCGCCAACGAATGGGCATTGAGCACAACTCTTCTTCAATTGCACGAGGACAAACTTCATCCTGTGTAATTCTGTGGTCGGGTTTTAAAGACGCGGAGATGTATTATCACCGTGCGGAGAAAGAAGTGTTAGCACTGCTACTACTACTGAAGACTTGTTATGCACAACTAGCTGGATGCACCTTACATGTGTACACTAGGTTCTCGACGTTGGAATGGATAACCAAATCCAAGTCACTCTTCGGGAGAGCGGTCCAATGGGCAGTGCTGCTATCGCCTTGGCACCTGATTGTCCAGTGGATTAAGGAAAAGGATTGCGCTTTCACGAGATTGCTCCAGTCCACGGTAACAAACTTTGTGGATATTGATGACTCGTTGAAACTGATAGCTCCACCTCAGAAGGGATCACCGACCGCTCGGATAGACCCACAACTTCTCTACGCCAAACTACCTCTTGACTATTCGGGACTCGTGGTATCTTTTGACTGTTCAGCGAAGACTGAGAAGAACGGAGGATACGGGAGTTGTGCATGGGCGGTATGGCGTCTACCTGAATGGACAATAGTGCTTGCTACGAGTGCGTACATGGAGTCAACAACTGTGGACGTCGCAGAGTACACCGGGATGGACAACGGAGTAGAGCAGCACTAGACCTGGTTGCCGACAATTTAGTGGTTGTGTGTGACTCCAGGCTTGCAATCCAACAATCCTAGGAGTGACTGCATGCCGAAAGGAGACGCTCATGGCCCAATTGAACTACCACAAGGAACTGACGTCAAAGCTAAAGTCAGTTAAATACCTTCGTATTCTGAGAGAATTCAATGCAACCGCAGACTCACTAGCGACGGAAGCACTAGAATCGAAAACATCAAAAGTGGTGTTAGATGAAAGCCGAAAACTTGAGCTAGTAGGACTCAATCGCATCCGAGAGGTGATCTACGACTCCAGCCAAACTTAAACGGAAGTAAAACCCGTTGTTGAAGACTCAACTCAAATTATGAGCGCAATCTCAGCCTCTCAGTTCAAACCATTCGCAGACTTTGTCCAGACAACTCAGAAACAATCAACGAGCTATGTATTAGCCGTGACAAGGAGCCAAGCAACAACTCAGAAGAAGCGTGTGCGTTTAGCCGACGATTCAGTGGCAATCCATGAAACAACCATACCGAAACCAATGGCGACAAGGGACACAGAAAATGTGGCAGTAAACCCTGCGAAGACTGGGGCAATCGTACTCAGTACGGTACCAGGCGCAAGTGACGTCGACCCAACGGCGATACAATCAGAGCGACGACGGAGAATCGCTATCGCTTCAAGACGAAGAGCTAAAATGGCTTAATCTGAAAACGGTGTTGCGAGGAAACTCCGACAAACTCAAATACAGAGCTGCTCGAGATGCGTGGAAGATTGCAGAACGATTTCTCCTGACTGACGACAATGTGCTGTACTATATGCACTCGAGTCCTCGGAACCAACAAGACAACCAAGAAGAACTGAGACTGCGACTAGTAGTTCCAACTACGATGATCCAAGAAGGTCTTTAAAATAACCATGGCTCATTGGAATGTGGACATCAAGGCGTAGTGAGAACATACCAACGAGTGAGGCAAGATTATTATTGGTTTGGCCTTTATGCAGACGTCGAGAAACACATGAGGTCGTGTCCAGATTGTAGTTCAAGTAAGAGCAAACACTAGCTGAGAGGGTATTCTCCTGGTAACATTCACGCCGAACGACAATTCCAGATTGTCTCGATGGACTTCGTAATTCCACTGCCGAAGTCTCGGTGGGGCAACACTGCGTTGCCGCTATTCCAGTGTGCTTTCACTGGATTCGTCATTGCTAAACCGATGTCGGACAGTACAGCATTCAAAGTCGCACAAGTATTTGTAGAGTTCATTTACCGAAGGTTTGGAGCACCGTCATTAATAAGGCATGATAGGGATCCCCGCTTTATGAGCGAAGTATTCCAAGCGTTTGCCGAGATGATGCAGTCAAGATCGAGAGCAACTATGGGTTATCGGTCACAAGCCAACGAGCAGCAAGAAAGATCAGTTAAGACGGAAATGCAGTCAAGACCCACTTCAGCAAGACTGGGACGAGATTGCAGAGCATCTAGTTTTCGCCATCAACAACTCAATAGACACTACCAGAAAAGAAACACATTTCTACTTAGTTCACGGATGGGATGCCAGCTCGAAAATGAGGCGATGACGACGTCTCTTCGACACGGAACTCCGAAACAGTCCGAAGCCTTAACGTGGCGTCGAGAAGTCAACCGACAACAGGAAGTTGCGTGACGAATGGCCCAAGAGTATCAGCATACGGAAAAGTCACGAAGAGCAAGACTTCACAACAATGCACTGAGTAAAATGGAGAAAGCGGCATTGCAAAACGAGGAAGCAGAGAGCCCGACACACCAAGCCGGCGAGGACTCAGCAGCCAAATCGAAATCGATCAAGAAGAAGTTGTTCGAAGCAGGAAGTCGAGCTTGACTTTACTTGAAAAGAGTCAAACCAGGACTCACGAAGAAGCTCGCTCATCGGTGGCACGGATCATTTCGCATCAAGAAGAAAGTGGAGGAATTTGCCTTTGAATTGGAACTCTCGAACAAGAGCGGCTACCAGTTCTATCCAGTAGCGCATATCTCAAGGTTGAAGCCAGTAAACAAATTCTCTAGTCGACCCGACTCTACTTGCACCTGAAGTAGCCGAAGATTCACAAATGGATTTTGACGAGGCCCTCCTTCCCGAAGATTCGTGGGAACCAGACCACATTGCGGGACAGTATGAAGTAGAGGCCATTTTGGATGACAGAAGACCACTCCACACCAGTACCGAGAAGTCGGTGAGAGAATTCAAAGTAAAGTGGGTGGGGTACGACGAACCAACATTGGAGCCAGCGTCACATCTTTCCTGCGGTGGGCTCTTTTATGACAATTTGCAGCGGAAAAAGAGTGAACACCGCTTCCAGATGGTTCAAGTGGCGGTCGAAAACTAGCCGCCATGTCAGCCCATGACATTATCTGAAGTCTGGGGCAATGCAGCCCAGAACACACAGACAAAACTGCTACTGTACCAATTTGTATAATCTATATGATATGACTGATGAACGCAAAGGTTAAGTGGAAAGTGGAATTAAGAAAGAAAACGTTATTCAAGCTGACAACTCACTACTACGAACTACGAGCTTGAACAAGATGGCTAAATTCAAATGATCTGGGTAGACGAATCTTCGCCTTCGTCCTCAATCACAGGAGGAGGTTCTCCAATCTACTCCCGCTCCGGCTCTTCTTCTTCGGAAACTTCATCGTCCTCTTCACGAGAAGTCGGCACTGGATCCTCACCGTCCTGGGTAAAGTCACTGTCCTTGGTTAGAGCCATGAGACGGTCAAGCAGCAACAACTCGGGAGGATCCGCAGACTCGACCAAGTCTTCGAGAGTAGGGTCATATACAACCAATGATTCCACAACTGGAGGCGAACCTTGGAAAGTCAGCTCCAAACCATCGACAATTTCTGCGTTTGTGAGAGCTGGATCACGGACAATGAGTGGGCCGACAGGAGCCAAAGAATGACCAACAGGAACGAAGAGCGGTCGATCGGGGTTGCATGAATAGAAAGTCATATTGTAGGATGCTTCTCCGGGTAATCCAACCAATAGTTGCGCCATGCCTCGCGAGCATCAAGCTCAACAACTTCCTTGAGCCACATTGGAGGCTTGGGAATCCACGTGAGATATTCCACCCCGTAGAATGGCATGGAGGGTTCAAATAGGAATTCTGGAATCATGCCGTCAACTGGAGGTGGAGACTCAAGCGACCACTTCCAACAAATGCAGGGATACTTGGTGCGAAGTCGGCCGTTGCGCTTGACACGATCGAGGTTGTAGTGGCGCCAGGAATCGTCAACGGCATCAAGCATCGCCTTGATCTCGAGAACTTCCAATCGATCAAGAGTGGGCATGTTGAGGCGAAGAGTCTTGAACGCCATCGTGATAAACAACTCCACCGCACGAGGAGGAATCCAGTGGTCACGTTCCCACTGTGAAAAGCCGAATTCGGGGTCCTTCTTGTGACCAGCACCACGAAAATTTCTCCAATAGCCACGATATATCAGATCTGGAGGAGCTCGTTGTGAAAGAGAACCCTCTTGATCAAAATCGGTAGTGTCGAAAAGACAGGCTTGAGGAGGAAATTTCAGGCGAGTATTCTGCCAAGGGTGCCGAGGATTCGTATAATCAGCGAAACGTGCAATTTCTGAAGCCAAACTCTGGATCTAGAGCTTAGCTGGAATAGGAGTAGGTACTCGGGAGTTGAGAATTCTCATCCAGCACTTGTCGGATCCACGAAGAGCGTAGGATGGTGAAATGTATGCGCCATCCCACTTGAGGACCTTCTTGGGAAACTTAATGGTAAGTTTGAGCTTGACTGAAGCCGTGATCACCCGGCGCGAAGACACGGAAGTCTGAGAATCGGACCCACTTCGAGTCTTCTGTGTCGGTTTTCCTTTTGTTCTGGGCTTACGCTGGATAACAATAGGAGTGGTGGACTGTGTACCACCCGATGGCTCCACAGGAAGAGAAAGCACTGAAGGAACCAAAGACTGGGTAACTACCTCGGTGTCGGGAACCGGAGGCGGAGGCGCAAGTGAAGAATTCACGGACTGATCCTGGGCAGAGGCATCTACAACAGGAGTAGTGGATAACGGCACACTTTCACCAGCCACATGAGACGTTGGCACGGGAATTTCTCTTCAGTCGGATCGAGAGGAGGAGAAGTTTCTAAAGGTTCAATTATGGCTGCTTCAGTCGCCGAAGACTGACTGTTCAAGTCCGTCAAAGCTTCAGCGCCACTAATCTCGCCTACCGAATACTACCCGTATGGAGGTACGTCGTCACCTGACGCCCCCGAAGAGTCTGAAGAATCGAACAAAGCCGATCGCTAGAGTCGACGGAGCTTGCTGGTTTTCGAAACTGGAACTTCATCTTGGCAATCCTCCATTTCAACGTCCTCCTCAAGAACATCAGCATCAGTAGCACGCTCTTGTTCAACCAACAAAGATTCTTTGAAGGAGGTTCGAGCAGCTTGAGCCCGCCGAGACCGGTTGGCAGCAATGGTGTTGCCAGGGCCAACAGGACGGCTACGTGCTCTCAAAGAACGCGAATTGGGAATCAGATCAGCACGAGGTGGCGATGAGTCTTCATCACCACTTACCAAATCCAATACAGCAGGCACGCGATTTGAATAAACGACAGGGTCATCAACAGGTGCTAACGGAGCTGGAGAACTTGGTGATGACTTGGAGAGCGACTTAGAACGAGGTCGCGACGTTGCTTTCTTAGAAGAAGTCTTCTCAGACATAGAATTGGAACTGGGAATGACCGAGAACGAGATGCAAGAGCCGCAGTTTGAGCCTTGGCTGAAGACTGGACAAAACGACCAGCCACCGAACCTCGCGGAAGAGTGAGAGGAGGAACTTGATTCCCCGAAGACTCATGACGAGGTCGTTTGGGGGTCTGTGAAGCGTGAGCACGCGGTGTGCTAGCTTTTCGCTTGGGAATAGATGCCGATGACTTGGCTGAAGTTCGCTTTTACTGGTAATAATCAGCAACTTCTTGTGCCGAAGTTCCAGGCGACGTGCGTCGCTTATCGGCTGAAATTCTCTTGGGATCTACGGGACCCGCAGATTCGCCACGCTAAGCGTCAAAGCCAGCCTTAGCAAGCAGCTCGGCGAGAGAATCGAGCGAAGTGGCTGGATCGGCGTTGAGATATTCATCACGAAGCACATCTTTGGTGTTTTCACACAGTTCAAGCATGTTCCAGTCAATTTCGCCAGTAGAATAACCTGACACAAACCGAATGCGCTTCAAGGAAACAAGAACGAACCTTCGGTAACGAGTACGAGAACATCAAGATCGAGCTGGTCCAGCTTCACGCGTGATCGTAGAGTGCCGTTAGCAGTCATGAGCCGGCGGTTATGCTCCAGAAGTTCGGAACTCCGACGACTAGCCTTGCCTTCAGCAGAAGCATCGACAATACGAGAGATCGCCAGTGGCACTCAAATTAGCCATTTGGGTGGTGTTCGCTGAGATGTTGGCCATGAACTCACGCTTGTTGGTATGCTTCAATTGACGATTCAAGTCGGTAACGGTATCTTCGGCAGCACGGACTCGATTTTCACTCCGAGCTAAAACTTCGGTGTGATCGCTAATGCTATCCTCAAACTTGTCGAAAACAACCTGGTAGTGAGCTGTCAGAGCCTGAACGTTCTCCACGTTCTTCGGAAGAGCCGCAATCTCCTGATGGCAGGAACGAAGGAGGCCTTCGGCATTTTCGCGAAGACCAATCTCTGCGAGCAAGAGCCCCTCAGCAGCTTTTTGGGCAAATTGTGCCGCGTGGACGTAGCGCCTCGAAGAGTACCCTCGAGCTCAGTCGGCGCGGACAGCTGAGCGGGGCTCGGATATATCAACAGAGTAGATGGACTCGACGGAATCAGCAGCGTCGACAAGCTCCTGGACCCGGCGGTTGCCGCGGATCGCGGACTGGAGGTGGAGACCGACAGCGAGTCTTCCTAAGGCTTCCATCTGAGACGAGAGACCCGACAAGTTGCGAAGGAACGACTTGTCAACCACACCTTCCACCAAATCACACAGCGCTTCTCTGGTCAATGTCTGTCGAGGAGTAGACGGAGCGACTGGAGGTGCTGGAGAAGGAGTCGTCGGCGGAATTGAGACTGGAGGCGGAACCCCCTTCCGGAATATGGCTACAGTAGCCGCAATTTCCTCTGGCGTAGGGGCAACACCTCGGATGGTGTTACCCTGTGGCGTGATGGAAGTCTGAAAACAAGGGATGATCAGACAAAGTGATATTTAGGACAGATTGAAGCGATTGCACGAACCGGCAGGCTATACTCCGGCGATGACTGAGCGTGATCAGTGGAAGGAGCTGACGTAGTCATAGTCGTGGCTGTGGAACCCTGTGACGACAAAGCAGAAATGGAAGTCGGCGTGGGTTCCGACGACTGCGAAATACAAGAACAACTCAGCATCACAGCATGAGGAAAAGAAGTCAGATACGTTTACCTGTTTGGAGACGGATGCCGAAGATGTCGGAGGAGATCCCTCGAGCGGAGTGGCCAGCTTGGGCACCACAGCAGGGTCAACTGGAGCAGGAACCTAAAGCAGGTAAAATGGTGTTTAGATGAAAATGCAGAAGGATAAGAGCAACGGCGAGAGACATACCTTGCTCGGGCTTAATGAAGTGACCGACGGTGTGGAGGCAGAAGTCGGAGGATGAATCG